AGAGATGGTGATGACGATGTGTTTTATTTCTATTTACCACGTGTATAGTATTCCCGCCTTATTCCACGAACTTGCTATTCGCGATTTTGGGCTCTCCACGAATCGCATCTGGAAATCTACACGAGTGCATCGAGAGAGAGAATAATGAGCGTGAAAGCTAAACGAGAGAACGAGAGAGTGAGCGAGAGAGTGAGCGAGAGAGTGAGCGAGAGGTGGGGGTTTTACATAAAGCTAAATAAAAAAATTACGAAATGATGAACGAAGCAAAGTGCCGAATACACCGAGCATCTTCTTGTTTCCACTGATTGTAAAATAAAAGAGAGTGAACGCGTATTGACGTATTTATTTAAAGTAATTCGTAAAAAAGAGAGGTTTCCGTAGGCCGCGAAATTTGCAATTCGCGAGCATCTCCGGAACGTAGCCCTCGCGAAGAATAAGGGAAAAACTGCGACTGCCAAATGTAGCATCGGGGGTGGCGTGCCTGGAACCCGGCGCTTAAGAGAGAAGATGCGAAGGGTAAGGGAGATGATGTCGAAACAAACCAGACTCACTGGCCCGCAAAGTGGCCAGGAGATGGCAGTACAGCAAGCGGGTTTCTGTGTGGGACCTTTGGCGGTTTGTCCCTTCCTCGACTCGCTGCGCAGAGGTCGCAACCGGGTACCCGATGCCCGTACCCTACCCGATACCCGGCTACCCGTACCCGGCCGAGTACGGTTACGGGTACCCGTTTGCGACCCTGGTGCGGCCGGGTACGGGTACGGGTAGACCGTGAGTCACTGGTGAGTAACCGTTTGTCACTCATTTCTCAACGTCTTGTCTATTCTCACAATTCAAGTTCCTAGAATCAACCCACCCGCGCCTGCAACATGGCTTCATCCCAGAGGTCGCAATCGGGTACCCGATACCCGTACCCTACCCGTCCCCGGCCGCAAACGGGTTTTGATTCCTTACCCGTACCCGGTCGGGTACGGGTAGGGTACGGGTACGGCCGGGTACAGGTACCCGTTTGCGACCCAGGCACGGCCGGGTATGGGTACGGGTAAGGAATCAAAACCCGTTTGCGACCTCTGCTTGCTGGGCGGTATCGCGAGGTGTGAACAGGTCAGATGTCGTGAACACCTTTCGGAGATGACAATTTACACCTGGGCACAAATGCTGCACTTGGGGTGTGGGTGGGTTAATTGGTCCCGGTGGATAACATATCGGTCAGATACGTGGCGTTGGACCGTACTTCGGTTTTCATTCCGCACGTGCAAAACAATCTTGAGACCGGAATTTTACGAGCAGTCGCCATGTGCTAGCATCCTTAGGGGACAAGGCTCGTGAATCTACGATTTGCAAAAATAAAATACGTGCTAATATATGTGTTTTTATCGGAGCTTGTTTAGATTCGCAAACGATTGCTCATGGCACGTGAGCTTGCCATAGCGATGCCTGGCAATGTTGCAGCTCGTAACATCCTGCACAAGTCAACATTGCCATCAGGTTGTGTGTCATCAGTTCAGGTGAACACGCCTTTTGATTAAAAAAACGAACGTAATGATTCATGCGATAATAAAATCCACACTCAAAAGTGTCTTGCAACTGCGAAACACTCACGTGCTGGCACTTGTATGGCAAAAAGAAAAAAACTCCGACCTATCATTTCTAGATTTGAAGCTTTCGTGACTGTAAGGATTCATATTCTTATGTTTTTTCGGTAAAGTCACGTAGGTATTTTTTTTTGTTACTTAAGCAGTCGTGCTGTGACGGTTCCACCTGAAGACGGAAGCTTGTGTTGCCTCCGAAACGTCGTGATTTTTATTTTATTTTTTATTTTACTTTTATTCATTTAATTTTTTTTTACCTACGTGACTTTACCGAAAAAACCTAAGAATATGAATCCGACCTATCAATTCAAAATGTAACACGCTAATGATTTGATAATTGATGGCTCTGTTTCCCCCCCCCCCCCCCCCATAACTCCACAGTACATCTTACGTGCATTCACATACGAGGGTTGAGTAACTGCCACATGGGCCACACAGAAGAGTGAGATGCTATCCTTAGTTTTAAAAAAACACGTGACAAGAGGATGAGTCAGGGCTATTGACCTGTCTGGGCTCTCACTACACTCACTCACTCAAGAGATGTACAGAAGCCATAAGACAAAGATCCCCTGTATAGCCTTAACATACTTTTAGGGGCAAGTGCATTTAGGGAGTACATATGAAAGCCGGCACGGCACACAAGAGGTGTGAGTGGCCAGCACCACAACCAGCCGCCTTTGTCTCCCTAGTGGCGATGTTTACACAATGTACCAGGTATTCATTTGAGTCTGAGTCGACCTAGGGAAGGCCCAGGACCGGTTCAGATAATCGTCACTGGCCGGGTTCGTAGCGCAGCGCGCTAACCGCTACTGCTCCCCACACAGTCATGCACATACATCAAGCCAAGCATGTGTTTGGAAAAGTGTTTCCGTGGCTACATTGAGTGCGTAAATACATATCGAATGTCGCAGTGTTATGAGCAGAGTTTCACGCACGTTTGCAAATGTAATACTGTATTACAATAGTCATAATAAAAATAACATGAACGTACAGCCCGTTGTTAATCCACTGCTGAATTACGGCTTCCCCATGTCATGTCGGTCAATCTGTCAAGGGCGATGTTTGACCATCATTCACTTTGCTGGCCTGCGCGACCACACAATTGGCTGGGAATTTAGTTCCGATAACTTGGGTTGGTGGCTGGAAACATTATATAGACTTCATGGAGAAAAGAAAGTGTTTCCAAAAAATAATTTGCCTGGTGTCTTTTTTTACATCACATTTTAAACAATGATAAAAACAAATTTTAAGCTGCACCACAAGCTATTTAGCCACTCGCAGGAGCTCTGCTGTAATGCCACTGGCAATAGCTGAAGACACACGTGAGCGCGCAAGAACGTGCAATGCCAGGCTCGTGAGTTGAATAATGAAGGCTCGTAAAGTGGTGCAGTTGCCTGCATTACCATCAGGTTGTGTGTGTGTGTGTGTGTCGGAAGATCAAGTGAAACTGAGCAAAAAAATTATTCGTGAGATGAGATAATGCATGTGCAAAGTGTCATGCATATATTGAAAGCATGTTTACGTTCTCAAATCTTCATTTAAAAATAGACACTGGCAAAGGAGGTCCCATGATGTAGTTGCTCAGCCCGAGCTCTCATATCTCTGATAATGCTTGTCTTTGTGCTGTACGCCTTTTGGCATCCTCTGGTTTAACACCGTTTGAGACTAGGCTCAAAAGAAAGCTGTCTCTGGTGTGGAACAATCAGTTTAAAAGACAATGCATATATTATCAGAGTATGTTTTTTTGTTTGCATTTTGACCACAAGTATTGTGGTTAATGCAGACATGATTCCTTGTAAAAGGTTTCAGTTTGGTGTTTTAACATCTTAACACAGCTGTTTTGTTGCCAGAAAAAAGGGGGAAACCTATTATCATCTTAACACCTGTTTTGTTGCCAGAAAAAAGGGGGAAACCTATTATCATCTTAACACCTGTTTTGTTGCCAGAATTAAAGGGAAAAACCTATTCTCAATAGACACTGTGCCATGCAATGCCAATGTAATATGCGATGTGTCTGGCAATAGCTGCTCTTCATTCATTCAATTCATTCAATGATTTTTTTTAGTAAAGACTCACCCCCAGTAAAGAGGGCATCGCAATACGAAGAGGGCATTTGCGAATTCTTTACATAGAGAGGCCAGGGAGGTACGGCGTGCTATTAAGAAGGGCCACTGCCTGAAACGTCACCTATTGTACACGTTGTTATTGACGAATGTGTCAAGTTTTTATTAATTGTGCTTGTGCACTACTGCAATGCAGCAGCATCAAATAATGTGTTTAATCACGAGAAATTATCAAGCCGCGTTATTAATGAGTGAAATTAAAATGCATTCATGACTCATACATTATTATTGTTTTTTATGCAGCAATTTTAGGCCGTCTGAGAAAGCAGCCGACAATAATTTAGCCCAATTTTACCGGCGACATCAAAGGAATATTAACTAACATTTCCCTCGAGCAAACAACACCGCGTGATTGCTCAAACTCCAGCAAATGAAGAAGCGAGGTGGTAAAGGTGCAGCCCTGAAATGTCGCGCTCACGCCACTGCAGGCGCAAGGGGAGGTCCCCAATAGAAGGTATTTGGCCTACTCTTCCACGCTGGCCAAACGTCCTGGAAGAGGTGGGAGTACCCACGTTCTACCCCACCACACACACACACAGAGGCAACCCGCGTGCTGATCGACTAACTTACCGCTGTGCGGAACGGAGGGGAGAGGGTTGAAGGGTTTTAAGAAACTAGCATCATTTAATTTCGATTTAAAGCTTTCGTGACTGCAGGGACTCATCTTCTTGGTTCTTTCGGTAAAGTCACGTAGAAGGGAAGTAATAAAATAATAAAAAAAAACATAATAAAGTGAGAATTATTTTATTATGTTTCATTTTTATTATTTCATTACTTCCCTTCTACGTGACTTTACCGAAAGAACCAAGAAGACTAGCATCATTGGTTCAAATACCGCGCCGAGAGAGGGAATTGAACCGGCGACCCTCTGGATCGCAACACCGCAGCGTGCTGACCACATCAAACACCGCCGTGTTTGATGCGATCCAGAGGGTCGTCGGTTCGATCCCTTTGCATCCCACGAGTAGCCACCGTTAAGCCGTCTCACAAACCAAGGCCGACGATAGAGCGTGCCAATTCTTTTTTTTTTTGCCTGGAAAGCATCGGAGAAAGACGAGGAGGAGGAGGAGACGAGCGGATGCCGAAGCATTTCGCCCGAGCGAACGACGACACAAAAAAAAGCGTCGAAGGTTACGCGCGCACACGCGCTCGTGCTTTTCCCCTTTAACCCAAAAGATCATCAAGACGCACGCGGCCGCCCCGTCGCTGTCATTTCTGCACGCGCACGTGCACGCGGACGAGCGCACGTGCACGCGGACGAGCGCGCGCGCGCGCGTGCGTTCCTCACCGACGAGCTCTCCGTTGCGGTCGCGGTGCTGCGCGTAGCCCTTGAGGCACGTGTAGCACGGGCGTCGGTGTCCCTGGAAGCGTGAGAAGGGCGGCGGAGGAGGAGGAGGAGGCGGCGGCGAGGCGGTGACGAGCACTGCGCAGGCAGCCCACAGCGGCAACAGCAGCAGCAGCAGCGGGGGCAGGCAACGCGCCGCCAGCGCGGCCGGACCAGCGCCGGCCGCGTTTGATGGCTTCACGAGCCCCATGCGAGTTCACTATCGCAACCACTCCTCACCCACCCACGGCACCCCCCCCACGTATGTCCTCTCTCTCTCTCTCTCTGCTCGGTTCGCAACGGTCGACTCTGCTCGCTCGCTCTCTCGCTTCTCTTCTCTCGCCGTGTGCGCGCGCCTCTTCGATTCCGTGGCTTTCTACGTCTTGCTCTTCGAGGGGCACTTGCAGGCGACTCGCCGGTTGCCTTCCTGTTGAAACACACACAAAAAGCAACCCGCCACCAACGCAGAAGAACGGGCTGATTGTTTTGACCCGGCTAACAACGCCACCGCTCTTGCGGACTTGATGCTGTTTTGGCAACGCCGAGCCAATGGCAATTAGATGTCTAGACGCGGGCATGCCAAGCGCCTTTTGTGCGGATTTGCGTTAAAAAAAAAACAGACCGAGAGAGTGTTTAACAATTTCATTCGTAACCCCCCCCCCTCCTCCGCCCCCCCCCCTCCGCTTCAAATTCTTATTGCCAACTGAGGGTGCAGGATGAAAACAATAACGGTTCAAACTTACAAACGCTACTACCTCTTCGCGTGTAAAATAGCTCCGGCAGGAAGGAAAAAAAAAACAAGAAATAAAATCAGAAGTCCCTGCCACTTTTATGGGATCAGTTTGAATTCAGTGCTCCCAGCGGTGAGCTAACTCAAAAATATGTTCCATAAACCGGGGAAGTATTTGCTGCTTCCCGGCGCTGGAGAATGGGATGCGTGATCGAGATCGTTTTGTGGATTGGGATTTGCTCTTCGTGCTGCCCGCGTTAACAGGGTCAAGAATGACTGCACGCTCACGGGTTCCAGCTTGAGCAGTTGCCTTTATTTTATTTATTTTTTGGAAAGTTTATTCATTATTTAACTTAACTGCCAGCCACTTGCAGGTGAAAGGCGATTCAGCAACGAGGCACTATTTATAGCCGAGAGGAGCTGGGGGGAGAACAGAAAAAAATGTTGGTTGTCGGATTTTCTGCCGTCAAATGTTCCCGCACGGTTATGCAATTGTGGGTCTTCAAATCGATAACAGCATACATTTCGGAACAACCTACAATTGTTGCGGATAATGTTAAATGAATGTCAATCGGTTATTTATACTCGAATGAAAACTCGTTTTTTTGTCCAACTAAAAGTTATGAAAAATATAATATGGTTTTTGAAACGTTATTTAACATATCCAAGCTGTAATCACTGTTAAAGGGACATTCTGCGCCATCACATTGGGTTGTGTAAGATGCTTGTTTTCATTGAATATATCAAGCGTGTGTCACCATGAGCTCACCACAATGTAAGTGGCAGCAATGTGTGCTCTTGAGATGCAAACAGGCACAACGTGAATGTACCGCATATTGTATCAAAACATCGATAATGGTTACCCTGCTACAGGGAATATTTCCCTGAAATAGTTTTTTTTTATACGTAAGTACAAACCCTTCACCACAAGCATTCGACGTCAGTCCACACACGCACAGACACACTGAAATATGCGCGTACGTACAGTTCCAAGAAAAGGGGAATAAAAAAATAAATCTGACAACCACATGATTTTACTGGTCTCCCTCCATCTGTGCATCCCTTTAAGACTCTCCCCCCCCCCCCCTTTTAGTTTTCAGCATCTTAAAAGAACATGCCAATTCAAGGCAAGACACCGGAATGAGAGAGAGAAAAAACAGCTCACATCTAGCATTCCTTCAACTCAAGGGGCGCTAATCCCTAAACACATGTTCGATTGTGTTTAATTTTCGCGTGCATGTATGTGTGTTTTTTATGTGTGTCGTTGTCACTTTTGAGTTGAAACGCTCGGCACCACGTGATTTACAAGCTTTCATCACATTACGCGTATCATTACCCCGATTAAAAAGGGGGTGGTGGGGAGGGGGGGAATCTTCAGCGTAGCGACATCGCTTTCAAAATGCCGAATGAACCGATGCGTTTCATACACAAACGCACGCACGTGCACATGAACACGAAACGTTCCCCCCAATAACCCCCCCGCGGTGTCGTTCATCCATTGCGGGTTCTTGCCGTGCTCATCTGTCGAATGTCACACTTTAAAATAAACTCGTTGTCTTTAAAAAATAATTTTTAAAAAAGAATTAAAAAAAATAATTTTTAAAGAGTTTATTTTTATCCGCTCTCTCTCTCTCTCTTTCTCGAGCTCGCCGGTCGCTGTTGTTTTTGTTCCGCTACAGACAACGCGAATCGACGAACGCGATGCCTGCCAACGAACGGCGACACGCCGCCTTCGCCTGCTCCTCAAAACGTTCCCAGCCGTGATCGGCGGCCAAAAATCCCCAACATCAAATGCGTTCGCAGGCATCTCGGTTGAAGAGGCGACATTCCTCGACCGAGTCGGCACTCGCGAGCAGGCGCTGAAGAGCCTCTCCGCGTGCGTGGAGATTTTTTTTCTTCACCTGAGGACGGCTGCTTGCGGTGTGGCCGAAACGTCGTGAGAATTGTATTTTATTATTTTTACTTTTATTATTTTATTCTTTCCATTCTACGTGACTTTACCGAAAGAACCAAGAAGATGAATCCCCGCAGTCACGAAAGATTTTAAATCGAAACTTTTTGTTGTTGTTGTTCGAGTTGTACCCGCGTGCGTTGTGATTCGGGCACCACGTCCGACGTTTCGCTTACGCGGGCTGGGAGCTTCCCTCGGGGGGAACTTAAGGGGGCTTCTTGGGGAAATGAAGGAGTTGCCGGAAGGTTTAGCGCGAAACGTCGGACCTCGACGCGCCGAACGACGATCACATTCCTTTAACCGCAGAGCTTGACACGAGCAAGTTCTTCTAGCGGCGGCGTTGCCTTTCTTTCTTTCATGCTCCCTGTTGAAGAAGTCCCATTTACAATCAAGGACAAAAGGGTGGGGTGAAGGGAGTATTGGGTCGGGGAGGGGGAGGTCGATCTTACAACTCGACGATGAACGATCATTTTTGTTTTATTGTGTGACCTCCCCCACCACCACCACCCTTCCATGCCCGCCGGCCTTTCCTCGCCTCTTGGCCATTGTCCTGACGCTCGGTTTTAAAAGAGATCCGGGGGAACGAAGCCGGGATCAGGCGGGTCACGGCGCCGTGATCACTGCGGCAGACGGCCGATGTGCCCGGAGTTCGTGTGATCACTCTCCCCCCCCACCCCCCCCCCACAGGCCACATTCCCATCCATCATCCCGAAAGAGGCGAGCGTCTGTTGCCGCCTCGACCGTTTGCGGCGCCCATAATCGCTTCGGGGGCATTAAAGACGAGGCTTCAAAAATAATGCGCCCGCGCACGCAGTCGCCGTGTGTGATGCTTTGAGAATTCTAGACTTTCAATCCCAGAGGTCACTCGGTTTGAGTCGATCTCCCGGCGAGGCAGTTGATATGATGCTCAAAGTTTAAATATATTCATTAAGCCCCACCCACCCCGCTCCCGTTATCGCCCCCTGCTTCTGTCGAATATAATTGAGTTGATCACACTTAGTCGACTGTGCGTAGTGGGGTAAAGCATGGGGTACTCCCACTCCCATCACCTCTTCCAAGACACTTGGCCAGCATGGAAGAGTAGACGAAAATAATCAGAATCATTATTTTATCCTGGAGAAATCCGATGAGCTATGCAGCTCTTTTATCACAGATACCCAGCCCTCTAAAGAAAGGGTCCCCAACCCCCGGGCGACGGACCGGTACCGGTCCGTGGCCTGTTAGGAACCAGGGCCGCACAGCAGCAGGAGGTGAGAGCGGTGAGTCCGCGCGTGTTGCTCGCCCCCATTGTTGTATTATTCACCACTTCTGTCCTCGCCTCTTCCCCGCACTGCGCACTCGTCTCAGTCACAGTGTTGGTAAGCCCACAAGCTGCTAACCCCTAGTAGCCACAATGAGCAAACAACAAACGTCGCTGGAGAGCTTCTTTGAAAAGGGGGAAAGACCCAATGATGACCCCCCCCCCCCCGGTCCGTGAAAAAATTGTCTTCCACGAAACCGGTCCCTGGTGCCAAAAAGGTTGGGGGCCGCTACTCTAGAGGTCCCCATCGAAGATGAGGCCCCTTCTGCCAGCAGTGACGTGAGGAAGTAATTGCAGGGCTGCACCTTTTGCCAGGTTTTTGTATTATTATTACACGCGCTTTTTAAATCCTTTATATTAAGTTCACTTGCTTGCTTGCTTAGGACCGTGCAAATCTTTTGGTCGTTTTATAACCCACTTCCGTGATCCAATCGAGCGGACATTTTGCACACAGACTCGCTGTGCGTGACAATGCATGTTCGTGAAAAAATGTTTCCAAAATTTTACACTTTTTAGGACAAAAATATTATATTTAATTACCAATTGCTTAATGCTGCCATGCAATCATCTGACCCATAGGTGGCAGCCATCTCAAGCCAGAGGACGAGAGGACTCTAGCCGCCATGCATATAAAGGAATTTATAGTGAAAAACTTTGTTTTTACGGGTTATACTTGTTATGTACTCACTCTTGTCTGTTGTTGTATACTCAAATCTTGTAGCTAAATTTGTACCCACTTCCCAATGTGGTATCGACTGCAAACTTGGCATACTTATGTCATACTGATGACAATACTATATTCTATCATTAAAAATGATTTTTTTTTAATACATCATGTTTCGGCTTGGGTCTAATTGTCCACGCTCAACTGACGTTGGCTGTAAATCACCACGGCCCCTTACGTTATGGCAAGCTTCGGGGCCACTTGCTGGAGTCGTGGAGTTCTTCCATTACTATTAGGGTACATTTCATTAAAGCGTGTTTTTAAAAAACGTATTTTTTTTATTATATTACTTATTTTCCGTCAGCCAAACCGTCCGATGTCATCGCCAATTTATCTTTCGCCACTCTCCTCGGATGTCTCATCTACAAACGTTATTGTTGTTGTGTCGGGCTTTGTGCATGAACTCAGACTTAACATGTTTGTAAAGCGTTGTGAGCTCAGTACCTGATCGTGACTCGCATTGAGATGAACACAGTGATTCGTTTCATTCTACGCTAGGGGCGGGGGAGTGTGGGGGTGTGACGACACACAGGGGATTTGAAGTCCGACTCGATGGCCGGTACTTCGATTCCACACGGACCAGCGTGGTGAAGTGTGGCCAGGGTTGTCGTTCACTGCATCAGTGCTGCTGACCATTCTTTTTGACAAATGGCCAGATGTGTTCTGCTCTTCGGCACCTTCGGTTTTTGCTGATGAACAAAATTAATCGGCAATTTTTGGCCACGCAACAACCTCGTTTGATGGTAGAGGGTTATAGTAAACGCAGTGCCTGATTAAGTTAGTTGCAGGGGCCTGTAGCATATGTTATGAAGAGGCCCTAAATAAATAAATACGTAAATATTATAACACATTTAAAATTTTTACTTGCATAGTAAAGTAATTTTATTTTTTCATTTGCTATACAGCCAGATAATAGACAAATCGCTAACCTTAAACACCCAGTCGTTCATAAAACGTTGAAGGCAGTATAGTACTATCGTAATAGAGCAAGTGCAGAATCACTGAACCGGAATTGATAGCTTGAAAGCATTAGGCGCGGGGCCCTTGAAAGTGCGGGGCCCGTAGCATATGTAGCTACTTTTGATCCTAGTATAATCCCGCACTGAGTAACCCGACATTATACCGACACGATCGAGATTGACCCGAACTAAATTACGAATCATAATATTGGTTCTTTACAGGATTAAATAGAGTTGCATTGAAATATGTGCAGCAGTTTGTCTCTTGCGCACAATCGCTTCCACGCTGTCGCCCACCCTTTTGGCTCCGCCTCCCTCCCTCCCGATACGTTCCATTCATTGGCTACCACATTCTGATGAGCCCCCCCCCCTCTCCTCCCCCCTCAACTCGCTTTTAAGGGATTACATCTTGAATCATTGCCTCACTTGATGCAGCTAATCTGGCT